ATATATTAGTCTGTGTATAAGTAGTTCATCAGCTATTTATGCTGTAATATCTCTTCATGTGCTGGTTTTTCATTTTTGCAACTCTTGTGTTGTTGGTTAAGTTCTACCGATTTCGTAACACTGGTTATATTTCCTAACAACAACTATATTTCTCTCTATCACAGGTCGTGGCGAATTTGGCTTAGCAGCTTTCAGAGTGTTTGACGAAGATGGCGATGGAGAAATCTCCTATGAAGAGATGTGGAGTCTTTACCAGGTATTGATCACATTTAGATACATGAATCGTCTCATTTGTGTATATAGTGTGATTATTTGTATGTGTGGAAATTGTTTTATTCGAACGTTCTTGTCAGTGGTACGCGGGCTTCTCAATGTATTTTTGCCATAATACCTGGCTAGCATACATGCGCAGTATGCAATCCATGTAAGGAATATCGATTATGGTAAAAGGGTCCTGGTCTATCCTTTCGTAGACGAATGCGAGACTCTTTCGTGAATCCAGCCGCCATCTAGCTCAAACACATATCCGAGTTTTGTTTGTTGCATGCGTAAATGTTTCAAGAATGTGATTTATGTTGCCGACTTGAGAGCTATTCGTATGCATAAATCACGAGATAACCCGTGGGAAAATGTATTTATAAGTCACAGGGGTATTGTCATTTGAAAACAACAAATATGCGAACATTAGATCGGGGACGTTGAACCGAGGCATACTACCTCAGGCGCTTCCTCCCATCGAAGTAGTGGATTGTATAGCGTATTCGTGTTTCGCGAATATGGAATGGACATTTATATGCAAATGCATACGTGCAAAATACTGCATGCATGTACTTGTAGTGTACACCTACATAGTACGCACGGTACTATATGACCGAGGCTCTTGTAGCCCACAACCACTACTCTTTCTGAACCAATTGTTCGTGGGGTAGAACGGCTAGTGCAATTTATACATACGTATGGATGTGCACTTGTGGGGAATATTGACTGCCCAATCTCGAATCTAATCGTGAGTCATTGTTGCGCTTTCCTCGAAAATAGCTGGTGGGATCCAATTACTCGCGCGAAGAGGTACGGGCACTCTTTGAGATAGCTGACCAAGACGGCGATGGGGGCATTGGGTTTGGAGAGTTCAGAACCACCATGAGAGCTCTCATGGTATTCGCTGATAGCAAAACGAATAAATAAGGGCCACTGAAGTGGCTATGAGATGCATAAGAGTTCTGAGTTCAGTGAGGTTCAAGTTCAATCCATATCTATATGATGCCACAGAATTGCTTTTTAAAGGTATCTCAATTAGGCAAATACGAATTAAGGCGCAGATACGAGGTCCGAGAATGTGAATGTGTTTAAACGAACTAGCTGAGCTTGGCTGGTATCCGCTGTGGACAGTACATACAGTCGTGCATCTCTTGCCGATATATTATTTCAACTATATACTGAATGCACACGATGACATCAATTTCAGAAGTTGAACGTATTCCCGCTTAAGCTCCAAAAAGAGACAGGATCTCATCAAGTGGTGAACTCTTGGTCTCCTAAATGGAGAAAGACAACGAAGTCCAAATTGATTCAAGCCAATTTTGCCGAACACGCCGAAGGTAACGGGTGTGGACCAACCCAACATGTATGGGGTGACGAAGACAATGACGGCATTAAAGTAGTATTGCCAGAAAACAGCCAACGACATGTCTTTGTCTTTCTCTCACGGAGAGGATCTCAGAGGGACAGTTTCAGAGGACCTTACCCCAGGCGAGTTGGAAACCGGGCCCGTACACGCAAAGCATGACCATGGTGATGTAGAGTGAGACACCGCCATGTATGGGAGAAAGATTCATGCTGAGAGTGGCCATTAGCAACCAACGGCAACGGTCTCAGATTGTAGAATCAAGCAAACCAACACCATTGATACAACCGAACACCATACCAGCGTTTCAGATCATACTGAACAGGAAGAAAAAGAGGTTAGTCCAAGAGCAAAGGAAATTGTAGAGGCAAAACCAAGGAAAGCGTTCACGCCTGCCAATTGCTGATTAACATACGCTTGCGTAAGCTATAGGATAACATATCTCCGTATAATTGTAAATTTAGTCGGGAAATAAAGCAAAAAATTATTGATGAGTAAGGATATTACCTTTCATTCATTTACTTGAGTCCCGAAGACAATCAATAATCGGTTAAGATAAGAATAAGCAAATGATCCGAAAAATCCAAGCAATATGTTGTACCTAAATAAGAGTGTAAAGTGCCGGCTGCTCCTCTGCCTTCAACTGCCCATGGATTTTCTGTGTTTCGGCAGTGATATCTCCACCACGAATAATATACATGTATACTATAGAAGTATAGAAATATAGAAATATAAAAATATAGATTTATATATATATACTTCTATATATA